TTGAAAAAGAAAGAACAGAGATCTTATAGACATTTTAACTTGAATTAAGTTTTAAAAAGTGCTAATTTAAAAATCAAATCGACACGTGTAGATAAACAAAGATTTTATACAATTAGAAAGACTGGTAATTTTAAATTTTAACAAGCAGTGTAACAGCTACGTGAGTGATACACACCTGATGATGGCCATTTAGGGCCGAAACATGTAGTGTGGAGGAGGAAAAGAAGTAAAAACTACAATAAAAAAATTTGTTGCACTTAAGACGGTATTTATCCATATATAATGTGTGAGTGTAACAGGATGCTGAAATATAATATTGTAAACAGTTGTCACACAAATAGCATTTATAAATATCTGAATTGTAAACGGAAACTGTTACACTGCAACGCTAACATAAAATTTAACAAAACCTGTCTAAAAGAAAAGCTAGTACCAAAATACGCATATGTGATTTATCCGAAGTTTTTTCCATGATATCCTTGACCAGATTATAGTTGTATCTGCATGCAGCCACCCCTTCCCCCTCACACACGCACACGCGCGCGCGCACACACATCGTTATTGAACATGATCCAAAAATTATATTACTTCAGAAACTGAAATAAGTTTCAATCACACAGAATACCACAACATAATAAAAATAGAACTTATAGACCTAACTTAAAAACCATCTCCTCCTGCTATTTAGTATGACACTACAAATCTGATTGATGAACTGACAATACAATTAATATTCACATATCCAACTTACTTAACAATAATTTTATGTTAATTAATATAACAACACATTCATTCACAGCATAACATGTATGTTGTAACAGTAAATCTCTCAGTTAAAAAAATAAACAAAGGATATCAACCACAGATAATCGGATGCTGAGATAAAGATCAAATTATAGCGGCAAACCCAACAGAAGCCAAAACAAGGTGGGCAGAACATTTCCAAGAGCAGATGCGTAAAAAGGAAGAGGATTATAATGAAGATGAAGTGCTTAAAGCCTAAGGAAGGATAGCAGATGTTGAAAGCAGAATATGTAGTAACAGAGATGAACTTGTGAAGGCACCAACATCAGAAGAAATAGAACAGGTAATTAGGAAACAGAAACGAAATAGATCCCCTGGAGGAGACAATATGGTCATGTGTACTGGGTTCTGTGACAAATAATTGTGGATTCCAGATTACACAAAGCTGTTTAACTGGACAACTAGTTTACAATTACACTTACAATCACTACAATCACTCTGACATTTCTTCTTTCAGACAATGTGACCTGACTGGTCCACTTTCTCTG